TCTTTTCTATACGTCTAATAAAACCCATTATGTGCCATTAAGTAAGTAAGTAAGTTTTTATTTATATACCGCCTTTTCACTGCAGATCTGAGTCTCAAAGCGGTTTACAATTGCTAATTTTGGGCATTTGTCTCTCACTCCACACAGAGATGGGAGCGGGGTCGCCAGTACAGGAGGCGCATGCCAGACCTATTGGACATATTTTTAGTGGTAGGGGAAACCGGAGTACCCGGAGGAAACCTACGCAGACACGGGGAGAACATGCAAACTCCACTCAGAAAGGCCCTGGTCCGACCGGGATTCGAACCCAGGACCTTCTTGCTGAGAGGCAAGAGTGCTAACCACTCAGCCACCGTGCCGCCATTAAACAACATTACCACACATGACACCACAAAGTACCACACATGACACCACAAAGTACCACACATAAAGCTGGTTTCATGATACACTAAAGAACTGTTAAGTGCTGTCTTTATAATGTGTGTGTCTGTATAATGTGTTAGTCTTTATAATGTGTGTGTGTCTGTATAATGCATGTGTGTCTGTATAATGTGTGTGTGTCTGTATAATGTGTGTGTGTGTCTGTATAATGCATGTGTGTCTGTATAATGTGTTAGTCTTTATAATGTGTGTGTGTCTGTATAATGCATGTGTGTCTGTATAATGTGTGTGTTTTTATACCGAGCTCCTCTTTAGCTCTGCAGGAGGCCACTCTCACCTGAAGAAAAGCTCATTTTGTCACAAACTTGTCTCCGGCCCTCAGCCTCCTCTCGCTCGTCCTCTCCGCCTGCCTCTCTGAATTCTGCTGTTATTGTAAGTGCCTTAAGCGTTAATCCAATTATCTGTAGGAAGGAGGAGAACGGAGCTACTTTCATTTTGAGCTTGTCACCTGCACGAGGGCCACAGACAGACGGCTCCTCTGGCCTGTGTCGCTGCAGGGACACTTTGATAGAGTTTGGACTTTTTCTGCCAAAATCGACTTTATGTTTTTATGTCAAGTGCGGTGAAATGAATAAGCAAAAAGAGAGAGAGAGAGAGAGAGAAAGCTGGGAGGTGTTGTGGAGGAGGGTTGTACATTTTTGGTGGTAGGGGAAAACCGGTAGCCTGGCCTTAGCCGTCCGTACACTCCGGTCAATCATCTTTTCTCTGCATGTAACGTCCGGGTCTGGTCTCTGTGTTTGTGATTACAATCGGTAGAATTCCATCCGACCAATCAGAGAGCTCGGGAGGCGGGTGTTGTAGTTAGATGTGGGTGACGTCATGAGTTTGCGCCGAACGGGCAGGTTGTAGTTTGGCGAAGAATGCGATAGTAAAGTATTCCAGTCTGGTTCTATCAAGAAATTGAATCCGTAGCAAGAGGAATGTTTAGCAAATCTCATTGCTGGTAAAGATTGTGGCGCTACTCCCCACGCGCTCCGTTAGCGGCAAAGGAGATGGCTTGGCTAAATGCTAAATGCTAACAACCCACTCGGGCGCATTACATACTGTACGTGACGGTAAACTCAGATCCAATCGTTTCAATCTGCAAAAGGAGTTAATCCCTCCCACTTGTTAACGGAGTCAATGGAGCACCTCCAGACCTTAGTACGAAATGTCATTTGTACTATGGTGTGGTACGACCAGGCTAGGAAACCGGAGCACCTGGAGAAAAACCTACACAGACACGGGGAGAACATATAAACTCCACACCCTGTCTGTACACTGCAAAAACATGTTGAAAAGAAGTCAAAAAGTGACTTGATTTGACCACATTTTAAGTGAGCCTTAAAACAAGATTTACCAATGAGAGCAAGAAAAGTCTTTCCTGGAATGAGAAAATAATCAACAGTTCTTGAAATAAAACTATAAACTTTGTCCCATTGAGAACATTGTTTTAACACAGTCAGAATGTACTAAAATTGGGATTTTTTTCGAAAAGACCCCGTAGGGTATTTGACCCATCCTGATGCCACTAAGGCTCACGTCAGGAGCAGTGGTCGCCGTAGTAACAGCGCCCGGGAACCCATCTCCAGATGTTGATGCTCGGCTTGGTCAGGACCAGAGCTGGAGGAATTAACCGAGTGTGCATGTTTTTAGTGGTAGGGGAAACCGGAGTACCCAGAGGAACCTGCACAGGCAACGGGAGAACATGCAAACCGCACACTGGAGAAATATGCAGGTCATAATTGGCAAAGATCACTCAGATTGTGAAAGAGACAAGAGTGCAAACATGTTAAAGGTTAAAAATCTCTCTCTCTCTAGTCTCTCTCTGGTCTCTCTCTGGTCTCTCTCTTTGGTCTCTCTCTCTGGTCTCTCTCAGGTCTCTCTCTGGTCTCTCTCTGGTCTCTCTCTGGTCTCTCTCTGGTCTCTCTCTGGTCTCTCTTTGGTCTCTCTCTGGTTTCTCTCTGGTCTCTCTCTGGTCTCTCTCTGGTCTCTCTCTGGTCTCTCTCTGGTCTTTCTCTGGTCTCTCTTTGGTCTCTCTCTGGTCTCTTTCTGGACTCTCTCTGGTCTCTCTCTCTCTCTAGTCTCTCTCAGGTCTCTCTCTGGACTCTCTCTGGTCTCTCTGGACTCTCTCTGGTCTCTCTCTGGTCTCTCTCTGGTCTCTTTCTGGTCTCTCTGGTCTCTCTCTGGTCTCTCTCTGGTCTCTCTTTGGTCTCTCTCTGGTCTCTTTCTGGACTCTCTCTGGTCTCTCTCTCTAGTCTCTCTCAGGTCTCTCTCTGGTCTCTCTCAGGTCTCTCTCTGGTCATCAAAAGAATTTGGTCTCTCCCTCTCAACACAGCTGCTTCGCTGCTTCTTTATTCGTCATCCTCCTTGTTTTCATCTTGTCCGTGTCTTCAGCAACTTTCAGAGCTACAGAAAATGATTTACAGAATGCATTCGGGAAGAAACCCGAACACAGAACAGTAACTTTGCGACAGAATAATGGTCACATGTCACATCGTGGAGATAATGTATGGGAGACAATAGGCACAGCAAGGTTGTTTAGGGATTTTGTGGAGGATGAAAACCTCTTGGGTCTAATTCATCCACACGACACAGGCGTAAACACACAGCCAAGGGCAAGAGTCGTGTGTAAAACAATGAAACGTGTAAAAAGAGACGCCGCCGGTTTCTTCTGGATCTAAACACAGTCAAAGGGCTCCATGTATTCCTAGTTTCTGCAGTGGAATGGACAAGTATTTTAACTCCCGTCTTCCGAGCAAGGCCAAACGTCATCATTAAATTCAGTTATTCATTTTCATCCCGTTTATCGAGGTCGAGGAGGTGGCTGCAGAGCTGCCTGTATGTAAATGTGAGAGCGGGAGAAGGGTGTAGGGTCAGAGAGTGTTGGGGCCTGTGTTGTAGTGTTGTGTTTAATGTTTTGTGTTTATAGACAATTATAGACAACAATAAGAAAATCTGTCTGTGAGTGGAGTTTGTTAGGAACTTAGTTTAGATGCAAAATGAATCTTTCTGACTTTCTGTGTTTACATTTTGAATGGCTTTGTGCTGTACCTGCAGGTTTGCAAAGAATAAATTAACAAACCGCGTTTACCGGCGTCTGTATCCCAACCTTTTTTGTGGTCGGAGAAACCGGAGCACCTGGAGTAAACCTACTAACCCACGGGTAGAACATAGAAACTCCACACAGATTGGTCTGGCAGTGGGATCGAACCCTGGACCTTCTTGCTCTGAACTGTATTTGTACACAGCCCTAAATCACAACAGCAGTATCTGAGAGGACTTTACAAAGCTGTCGATTCGCCAACAACAGATCAGAGAATCAAACCGTTAAAAGCAGTGATAAAAAGTCATTGGTCCGTAGGGTTCAGGACGACTTTATTTGTACCCTTGAGTAGATTATTTTTTGCAGTTAAAAAGGGAGAGACTTGGCATCTACTCCATCCATCCATTTTCTACCCTTTAATCCATTTCCGGGTCAGGGGGGTGACAGTCAGAGATGCCACCCAAGTCTCATAGCACCAGCCCCTCACTGACCCTCTGCAGGTGGTGAGTCCACAGGAGGACGGCTGCTCTCTGAGTGTGAGCATAGCCATGATCTTTCAGTGGGGGCTTCGGGCAAAGTGGGGTTAAGTGTCTTGCCCAAAGACACAACGACAGCAGTCATCAGTGGGAGTCGGTGGAGAAGGTGCAGAGGTGGGAAGATGGCATCTACTCATCTTCATAAAAATCACATTTACACAAATAACAATACAAACCCAACAGATTAGTAATGAAAAGAAGGTTAGAAGGTAAAAATGGTCAAAACTGTGGTGTTTGCAAATAATGTAAAGATTGACGTTTATTGATCTCCATCCATACATTTTCTTCCCCTTAATCCATTTCTGGGTCGGGGGGGCGGCAGTCAGAGCTGCTCCCAGTACACAGAGCACCAGCCCCTCACTGATCCTCCTGCAGGTGCTGAGTCCACAGGAGCTGAGATCTTTTCAGTTGGGGCTTTGGGAAAAGTAGGGTTAAGTGTCTTGCCCAAGGACACAACGACAGCAGTCATCAGTGAGAGTCGTGAAGTAGGTCTTACGGTGGTCTCGAACCCACGACCTTCAGGCCCAAAGGCCAATGCTCTACCAACTGAGCTACTGTTGCCCTTTATTGATCTCACACTGGGGAAATGTACAATGTATGTGTGACGCATGTGAACACCTTTCCCAAGACAAAGTTGTCCTATGGGAGACTTTAAAGGAGAATCTTATCTTATCTTAAAAGGTGCTTAGTCAGGACTCCAGAGTTAAAAGCCAAGATAAGAAATAAGGGGCAGATTACCAATGTCCATAAATGCCCTTAAATATCGTGGCTCATCCTAACATCGTCCTTTTACCGTCCTGTATCCTGATATGAAGATATAGAGATGTACGCATTGTGTTATTAGCCTCAGAACGCCACTGTCACTCATGAATTATTCACAAACAACAGAACAGGAATCCCAGCTTTAACAGAGGGAATGACTTCTTTCCATTCACCCGAAAAAAAACTCTCCCCGACCTCAAACTGCTCCATCTCTGCACAAAAACCAGAAGCTTCCAATGACACGTTACGAAGCTGCCAGTGCGGATACAAGTCGGCGCCTGTACCGAGCTTTAAAACAGACGCAGGTCGCTGTGCCAGGCCTCCCACCGTGTTCGGCGCTGGATTCTCGGTGGGGGTTGCGAGGCGTGTACAGATTTGCCCTGTCACCAGAAGCCTGGTCTCACACTCGCAGACCTTGCCTGTGGGGGCTGGCTGGCTCTTCTGTCACCCCTAACCCGCTCTGGTCCCTCTGACAGCTCTGGCTCCTGCCCCCCCCCCCTTCCGGCCTCTGCAGCGGTGGACAGAGCAAGATTGGAACATGATAAAGTGGACACGCAGCACAGAGCGGGGAAACGCTGGTGGCTTTCTGTTTTCCGAGACTTTTTGTGGGGTCTGGTTTGAAAAAGGTCTGCTGAGGTTGGTGCAAAGTAATCATTTATGCAAAATCCACTTGAAAGTTATTTTATCCATGTTGTAACGTCTTCACCCGTCGCATTTACGCGCTCAACGTCAAATTATAGAGGGATTTAAAGTTTTCAGTTTTCAAGATGCCACTACCCATGACGCACCATTCTTTAAGGTATAGATGTAGACATAGGATGCAGCTGTGTGGCATTGAGTCACGGTTAGACTGAAAGACATTTGTTGTAACACCATAGAAGCCCCAGAGCAGTCAATTTGATGGCTTTTAGTTTGGCTCTGAAAAGCACTTGCTGATCTCTTTTGGTGAAGCCTTAAACCACAACAGTTGACTTGGAGGACTTAATAACAAACACTTAGGAGCAACAAGTTGGGATGACCACTATCCATGAATGTTTACACATGTTGATAAATGTCCCTAAATGTCCTGGATCAAGGAAAAACCATCATCGGAGAAAAAAGTGAAAAACCTCAGGTAGACCAACATTGAGAGAAAGATCCGCTCCCACAGACAGACAGGCTGTAGATCCAGGACTGAGGCTGTAGACCCAGGACTGAGGCTGTAGACCCAGGACTGAGACTGTAGACCCAGGACTGAGGCTGTAGATCCAGGACTGAGGCTGTAGATCCAGGACTGAGGCTGTAGACCCAGGACTGAGGCTGTAGATCCAGGACTGAGGCTGTAGACCCAGGACTGAGGCTGTAGACCCAGGACTGAGGCTGTAGACCCAGGACTGAGGCTGTAGACCCAGGACTGAAGCTGTAGATCCAGGACTGAGGCTATAGATCCAGGACTGAGGCTGTAGATCCAGGACTGAGGCTGTAGATCCAGGACTGAGGCTGTAGACCCAGGACTGAGGCTGTAGACCCAGGACTGAGGCTGTAGACCCAGGACTGAGGCTGTAGACCCAGGACTGAGGCTGTAGACCCAGGACTGAAGCTGTAGATCCAGGACTGAGGCTATAGATCCAGGACTGAGGCTGTAGATCCAGGACTGAGGCTGTAGATCCTGGACTGAGGCTGTATATCCAGGACTGAGGCTGTAGATCCAGGACTGAGCCTGTAGACCCAGGACTGAGGCTGTAGATCCAGGACTGAGGCTGTAGACCCAGGACTGAGGCTGTAGATCCAGGACTGAAGCCGTAGATCCAGGACTGAGGCTGTAGATCTAGGACTGAGGCTGTAGACCCAGGACTGAGGCTATAGATCCAGGACTGAGGCTGTAGATCCAGGACTGAAGCTGTAGATCCAGGACTGAGGCTGTAGATCCAGGACTGAGGCTGTAGATCCAGGACTGAGGCTGTAGATCCAGGACTGAGGCTGTAGATCCAGGACTGAGGCTGTAGATCCAGGACTGAGGCTGTGGACCCAGGACACTTCTGTAGTACTTCAGTTATAAATACTAACTACTTATTTTCAACAAAACTGGTGGAATTTCTCAGAATCCCATTCATTCCAACGGGAGCTGCCACAACGACTGAGTTTTATAAATCTGGGAGTCCTATCGGTGACTTAAAAATTGAAATCATAACAGAACCGTCCTGCTTCTCATTAATGATAACTATAAAGAAGCATTCATTGAATCTTTACTGTCTCTGGACTGAACATCTACAGTCACAGTCATCCTAAAACATCAAATATAAAAGAATTCATGGATATAAATTGTGTTTTCTAGAACTATTTGTATTTCCATAACCGTGCCTTTTGATTGGCTCATTATGTTGGGACAATACGGTTAAATGTGTCTAAATACAGCCATAGATTTTACACTGTTGGATTGTCAATATTGTGAATTAGCAACGTTTTTGCAGCAAGAGTTTTAATACGGCGGGGATTAAAGCTGAAAAAGCTGATTTTTAAACTGTGGAAAGAGGAAGTATTAATTAAAATTGATCAAGCTCGTTCTTATCCTTCACAAAGTCTTGCTGTAGAGAGTTTTCAGCTCCGAGCCAGAAGCATCGCTCACATGGCTCTTCTCTACCACTGAAGTTGTAATGTGTTCTAGTTATATAAACCTCATTCTTGTCTCATGGTTCTGTTTATGGTTATACTCTGGGGGTAGAGAAAATAATGGATCCCCAGCTTTAACAACTTATCAACAAGACCAGCGTGTTATAATTGTTGAGCTGATTGAATTGTATAACAAAAACATGGTTGCATTATTAGACCAGAACCAGGAAGTACCATCACATTAGTCCAGTTCTCAGGTTTTTCACCGACTTCCTCGTGGCTTAGAGAATCTTTCCAAGTCTCTCCACGGCCTTGCTTAGTCTCACAGGGACTCACCTCCTGCTGGGACTCTGAGGAGCACAGGGACTCACCTCCTGCTGGGACTCTGAGGAGCACAGGGACTTACCTCGGCCGTGCCGTGCCTGGGCCGCTTGGGGCGGCACGGTGGCTGAGTGGATAGCACTCTCGCCCCTCAGCAAGAAGGTCCTGGGTTCGAATCCCGGTCGGACCAGGGTCTTTCTGAGTGGAGTTTGCATGTTCTCCCCGTGTCTGCGTAGGTTTCCTCCGGGTACTCCGGTTTCCCCTACCACTAAAAATATGTACAATAGGTCTGGCATTGGAACTATGGTTATACTCCGCTCCAATCTCTGTGTGAAGTGAGAGGACAAGTGCCCAAAATGAACAATTGTAAACCGCTTTGAGACTCAGATCTGCAGTGAAAAGGCGGTATATAAATAAAGATTACTAAAGATTACTACCACCTCCTGCTGGGACTCTGAGGAGCACAGGCTGGGACTCTGAGGAGCACAGGGACTCACCTCCTGCTGGGACTCTGAGGAGCACAGGGACTCACCTCCTGCTGGGACTCTGAGGAGCACAGAGACTCACCTCCTGCTGGGACTCTGAGGAGCACAGGCTGGGACTCTGAGGAGCACAGGGACTCACCTCCTGCTGGGACTCTGAGGAGCACAGAGACTCAGCCTCCCATAACATTTCCAATCTGCTTTGCCCTCCTATCATTCACATATTTGGCGAGAGTATTGGGCCGACGCAGATGCAGCCAGGACTCCGTGGGGGGTGTAGCTGTTAGCTCGATTAGCGCGCCTTGTTTCATCGTCCCCCCCCCGACAAACATCACAGGGCACACGCAGCCCCCTGTCGCGCGCCCTAAGCTTGACACGACTGAAGCAGGAAGTGTGCGACTGAAAAGCGGCCTTTGAAAGTCGACACGGCTTCTATTGTCGAATTCTGAGACAAACAAATGATTTGAGTTTTTTCTCATTTTCGCAGAGAGAGGCTTTGATTGAGCTTTTAACACTCATTAGTGTCACTCTGTCATGTTTGAGTTTGTGTCTGGCAGACTCGCCGTGTGGGGATTATTCAGCAAGATGGTCCAGTTTGGGTCTTTTTCAATTTGTCATAATGAAGAAGACAAGGCAAGTTTATTTGTACAGAGCGGTTTATACACAAGGCAACTCACAACAAGAAAAGCATGAATCAAAAATCAAGAAAAGTCACTGTGAATTAAAAAGACTGAAATAAAAGACTTTCTGGCCTCTCTCTGGTCTCTCTTTGGTCTCTTTCTAGTCTCTCTCTGGTCCCTCTCTAGTCTCTCTCCAGTCTCTCTCTGGTCTTTTTCTGGTCTCTCTCTGGTCTCTCTCTGGTCTCTCTCTGGTCTCTCTCTAGTCTCTCTCTGGACACTCCCCAGTCTCTCTCTGCTCTCTCTCCAGTAGTCTCTCTCTAGTCAGCCTTTGGTCTCTCTTTGGTCTCTCCCTGGTCTCTCTCTGGTCACTCTCTGGTCTCTCTCTGGTCTCTCTCTGGTCCCTCTCTAGTCTCTCTCCAGTCTCTTTCTGTGGTCTCTCTGGTCTTTACCTGCTCTCTCTCTGGTCTCTCTCTGGTCTCTCTCTGGTCTCTCTCTGGTCTCTCTCTAGTCTCTCTCCGGACACTCTCCAGTCTCTCTCCGGTCTCTCTCTGGTCTCTCTCTGGTCTCTCCCCATTCTCTTTCCGGACACTCTCCAGTCTCTCTCCGGTCTCTCTCTGGTCTCTCTCTGGTCTCTCTCTGGTCTCTCTCTGGTCTCTCTCTGGTCTCTCTTTGGTCTCTCCCTGGTCTCTCTCTGGTCTCTCTCTGGTCTCTCCCTGGTCTCTCTCTGGTCACTCTCTGGTCTCTTTCTAGTCTCTCTCTGGTCCCTCTCTAGTCTCTCTCCAGTCTCTTTCTGTGGTCTCTCCGGTCTCTCTCTGCTCTCTCTCCAGTAGTCTCTCTCTAGTCAGCCTTTGGTCTTTCCCTCATCTCTCTCGTCTCTCTCCTCTCTCTCTCTCTGTCCTTGTTCTGTACTATTTAATTGGTATTTCTCCGCTCCTTCTTGCTTCATCCCACTCCTTTTGAACAGAATACACTGCAAATACATAAACACCACTTATACCTCAGAGATTAATCAGATAGCAGAGATATATCCCGTTGACGTGGATCGGAGTCTGACCGATGACCGCACATACATACCAACATGTTGTAACCATCAATTATGCAAAGGAGCTTGAAACGGCTTCTGGTCCACTACATCACAGTTACCTACGAATCAAATCCATATCCAGCCGCAACATTAAACCACATACTCTTTTAATATTTGATGGTGCTGCCTGGGAGTATGAATCTTGCAGCGATAGTGTACAGTCCTCGGCTTCGTCCTAAATTATTCAGCAGCAGTGGAGGCTGTCGGCGATTAGCACTGACTGAAAACCCGGCTGCATACAATGGCCGTATCATACATAACATTTTCTGCGGTTTCCATCAAAATCCTGGTCTTTTGAACAATGACAAACGTGTTTTGCCTCAAGGCCGATGCTTCATGCAGCTTTGTTGTCGTGTTCTCTGATGAATGTGGTTGAGAAAGGTGGCCTCACGTCCTGCATCATATCTGCTCTCTCTGTGCTCTCTCTTGTCTCTCTCCGGCCTTTCTCTAGTCTCTTTCTCTTGTCTTTCTCTCTGGTCTCTCTCTCTCTCTCTCTCTCTGGTCTCTATTTCTGGTCTCTCTCTC